TAAAGATCATAGCAAAAATTAATGCAACTGACTAAGACAACAATACAAAGAATCAATGAATCAAAGAGTTGGTTCGGTGAAAGATTAAATAAAATTGACAAATCCTTAGCCAACCTTTTCAAAAACAGAAAAGACTCAATTCACACAATTAGGATGAAAAGGGTAAAATAACCACAGATCCTGTAGAAATACAGATCATCAATACCTACTTCAAGTACCTGTATTCTAATAAGGTGGAAAGCATAGAAGGGATGGACAGATGCCTAGATCTATATGAATTGCCAAAGCTGAATCAAGAAGAAATAAAGATTCTAAATAACCTAATATCACTTAATGATATTGAAGACGTAATTCAAAACCTACACAAAGAAAACCCCAGGTCCTGACAGATATACTGCTGAAATGCTACAAGAAATTTAGAAAAGATACAATGTCACTATTCCTCAAACTGTTTAATGAAACTTAATAGGAAGCAATATTCCCAAGTTCATTTCTGGAAGCAAGCATTACCCTGATATCAAAACCAGAGAAGGAGTCAACCAAAAAGAGAACTACAAGCAGTCTCCTTAATGAACCTGGACACCAAAATCCTCAATAAGATACTGGAAAACAGAATGCAGCAAATCATCAAGAAGATTGTACACCATGACCAAGTAGGATTCATTCCAGGAATGCAGGGATGGTTTAGCATATGCAAATCAATAAATGTAATGCATCATATTAACAGGGCAAAGGACAAAAACCATATGATCATCTCATGGAACACAGAAAAAGCATTTGACAAATTCTAACACCCATTCATGGTAAAGACCCTGAGGAAAATTGGAATAGATGGTCTTTATCTCAATCTGATAAAAACCATCTATGACAAACCAACAAATGGACAAAAACTGAAAGCTTTCGCTCTAAAATCAGGAACAAAGATTCCCACTATCATTATTCTTATTTAATATAGTTCTGTAAACATTAGCCAGAGAAATTAGACAAGAGAAAGAAAAAGAATAAGAAAAGCAAAAGACGACATTAAATTATCATAATTTGTGGATGACATGACACTAGATAGAAGGCCCCAAAAACCTCACCAAAAAACTTCTAGATTTAATAACCAAATTTAGTAGCATAACTAAACACAAAGTCAACATTCAAAAATCAGTAACATTCCTGTACACAAATAACAAACTAACTGAGAGAGAAATTAGGGAAACAATGCCTTTCACAGTAGCATCCAAAAAAGTCAAATATCTAGGATTCAATCTAACAAATACTTTTACATCGAAAACTACAGTACTCTGAAAGAGGAAATTAAAGAAAACATTAGAAAACGAAAAGATGTCCTTTGTTCTTGGGTAGGAAGAGCCAGTATAGTGAATATGGCCATGTTTCTAAAATTGTTATACAGATTTAATACAATCCCAATCAAAATACCAATAGCATACCTCATAGAATTAGAGAAAACAATCCTAAAATTCATTTGTAACTGGAGTAGACCTAGAATAGAAAAAACAATTCTGGGCAACAAAAGCAAGGCAGGGGGCATCACAATCCTTGATTTCAAATTATACTACAGGGGCTGGGGATTTAGCTCAGCGACATAAAGCACCTGCCTTGCAAGCAGGCAGTCATGAGTTCGATCCCTGGTACCAGTAAAAAGGAAAAAGACAAAAAAAAAAAAAATCTTCAAATTATACTACAAGGCTACTGCAATAAAAACAGCATGGTCCTGGCAAAACAAACAAAAACCCCCCAGACTCAAAGATCAATGGAACAGATTAAAAGATGCAGAAACAACTCCAAACACACTTGGCCACCTTATCTTTGTGTGTGTGTGTGTGTGCGTGTGTGTGTGTGTGGTACCAGGGATTGAACTCACAACTGAAATCACAACCTTGTACTTGCCAGGCAGGCACGTATGCCTGCTGAGATAAATCCCCAGCCCCTGACCTTATGTTTCACAAAGGGGCCAAATACCTTCACCGGAAGAAAGACAGCCTCGCTAATAAATGGTGCTGGGTGTGGTGGCTCTTGCCTGTAATCCCAGCACTCAGGAGGCTGAGGTGGGAGGATCGTTGCAAGTTCAAGACCAGCCTGGGCTATAAAGTGAGCTCAAGGCCAGCCTGAACTGCATAGCGAGACTCCGTCTCAAAAAAAAAAAGACCAAAAAAAAAAAAAAATGGTGCTGGAAAAACTGGCTTTTCACATGCCAAAGATTAAAATTGACCCATATTGGGGACAACAAATTATAAAATGACACTATCTGTGAGAGGCCCTCTTTGTCCTCCTTGTGGGCCAGTTTCGGAACACAGAAATCCTGCTTCCTCTTGGTCATCACTGAGATCTTGATGGTCAATGAGGCCATAATGACCACATAGCAGGATGAAGTCTGCTGGGGACAATCCATGGAAAACTAGTACCCAGGTATGAGGCTGAATCTTAATTTGTTTCCTTTATGATACTAAACTTGTCCTTTCAACCATTACTTCTACGTTTTTCCAGGAAAAGCCCTTGTATCCCTCCCATCACACTAATAAAACAGTGGCTAACTGGAGATTCTTGATCTTTGTTCTCAGAGAACACTGATCATCCCAGAGCCCCATATCCTCACAATTCTTGTCTCTTGATCTTTTTGTTTCTCACTGTGCTCTGTAACTCCAGGCAGGAGACTGGGTACTCACTGCAGAGGTCCCTGATAACTGGCACCTACAAAGAGTTACCGATAGACCTATATCTTTCACCATGCACCAAACTAAAATCTAAATGGATCAAAGATCTAAATAGTAAAACAGAAACAATGAATTTGCTGAAAGACAGACTAGGTAGAACTTTGGAAAACATAGTGTAGGAAAAGACTATGAATAAAATCCCAATCACACAAGAAATACCACAAAGAATCAACAACTAGGATCTCACCTTATTAACAAGCTTTTGGACAGCAAAAGAAATTACCAACAGAATAAAGCGGCAGCACAGTGTGGGAAAATTTTTTGCAAGCTTTTCCTCAAAGGATTAATATCTACAATACATAAAAAACAAAAATCAGATTTATTTATTTATTTGAGACAGGGTCTCACTATGGAATCAGGCTGGCTTTGGGCTCACTTTGTACCCCAGGCTGGTCTCAAACTTGCAACGATCGGATCCTCCTACTCAGCCTCCCAGGTGCTAGCATTACAGGACCGCATCACCACACCCAGAAAGATCTCCTCAAATTTAAAGACCCAATCCAAAAATGAGCACTCAAAATGAATACACATGTCTCAGATAAAGAAATACAAACAGCGGAGCCGGGCATGGTGGCTCATGCCTGTAATCCCAGCACTTGGGAGGCTGAGGCAGGATTGTTGTGAGTTCAGGGCCAGCCTGAACTGCATAGTGAGACCCTGTCTCAAAAAAAAGACAAAAAAAAAAAAAAAAAAAAAAAAAAAAAGAAATACAAACAGCAAATAAATATATGAAAAAATGTTCAACATTACTAGTCATTTGAGATGCAAATTAAAAACAATGCTGAAATTTCATCTCACTCTAGAAAGAATGGCCATTATCAAGAAATCAGTGGATAATGAATGTTGTAGGGCTGTGAGGAAAAAGGAAAAAGGTAGATCTCAGGCTGTTCCATCTGGGAGAAAGAAACATGACTGTTTTGTTCATTCTCTCATGTTCCCTTTGCTAATTTGACAAACAATTTTTATTTTATTTTTCCTAAACAAAACAGCCCAAATCCAAACACGTCTCTCACGAATGAGCAGTTTATTCGTGTGTTCTACATGTTTGATTGCTGCATTATCAGACTTTTTCCTCTCCAGTCTAGTAACTGAAGAACTTCACCTTTCCCATCATCTCAACAGACCCGGGGCTTAGTGTTGATGAGCAAGGTGGGAGGAGGTTAGGTACAGGGAGAGAAAATCTGATTTTTTTGCTTGTTTGATTTTGTTTTTTGCGTTTTTTGAGACAAGGTCTCGCTATGCAGTTCAGGCTGGCCTCGAACTCACAATGCTCCTCCTGCCCCAGCCTCCCAAATGCTGGATTACAGGCATGCACCACCGCGCCCAGCTATAGGAAAGAAAAAAAATCACTACAGGGAATATTGTAGAAAGGATAACTTGGTAAAAATGTAGGCCATCACCCTGCAATATAGTTCACTGCCTCAGTAGAAATCGGCTACCTAAAAAGGGAAAAATCCACACGCAGCAATGAGTTCAGAGGCGACAAACCACAACTCCCAGGGTAACAACAACAAAAAAGTCCAAGCCTGTGCCACAAGACTACAACTCTCTCTCTCTTTCGTCTCCGTCTTTCTTTTGAGGAAGGGTTTCACTATTTCGTTCGGGCTGGCCTTCAACTCACTTTGTTTTTTATTTTTATTTTTATTTTTTGTCTTTTTCCTTTTAATTGGTACCGGGGATCGAACTCACGACTGCAAGCTTGCAAGGGAGGCGCTTATGCCGCTGAGCTAAATCCCCAGCCCCTTTTTAACTCACTTTGTAACCCAGGCTGGCTTCAAAATCAAGGCGATCCTCCAGGTTCTCCCCACCTCGCGCCCCCCAACTCGGGCTGGAATTACAGGAGTGCACCACCACGCCCAGTTTATTCCCTTCTCTTTATTCTTCCCTTTTGCTGAGCCTGAAGTAAAAGTAGAAACTGTCACGCTCTTTTTTTAACCTTCACAGCCTGAGAGGACCCAAAGGACCACATGTGTTAATGGCCTCACCTGCACGGGTAACACAATACCCCAACCCAGGCACCACCAGGAATTGATACGCAGGCGCAGTAGCATGCTAGCCAACAGCCTGCGTCTCGGCACATGCGCAGACATTCACTCCGCACGCGGCCGGGCGCGGCCATGCCACTGCGCAAGCGTCTCTGTCCTCCAGTTTCCATCATCATGCTCTCTCTATCTAGCTTGCCCTTACGTTCTCACGTAGGAGGCGGAGCTAATACTGTCGATTGGTCTAACTCCGTGCCAATCAATGAGATGGGTGCAGTGATTGGTAGCAACTCGTAGGATACGGGGTTTAGGTGTCGGCCTTGAAGAGGCAGCGTTTTCTAGGTTTGTCTGTGAATCTCTCGCTCTCTCTCGCTTGCTCGCTCTCTCTCTTTCTCCAGAAGATTCTGTCGGTTCCTCTTGCTCTAGGTACCTGGCTCTGCGACGCTCCGCCATGATGGGCCACCGTCCCGTGCTCGTGCTCAGTGAGTTCTGGGGAAGCTAGAGAAGGGATCCCTTTTGTGCTTCTTTCTCTCCATACTTTTCAGTGTTCCCGCTGCTCTGTCCCGCTATGACCCGGACACCGATCCATCCAGCCATCGTTTCGTTTTGGAAGGTCCTTCTCTCCGTTTCCTTTTTTTCCTTTACGTTCCCTGCCTCCTTCGCAAATGCACATTGACCCTCCTCACAGAGTCCCTGGTCTTTCCATGTTCTTGTCTCTGAAGCGTCCCTCCACCCCATGCTCCGTTCCTCGCCGCCACCCTCCTCCACGCCCCTCACCCTCCAGCACGATTTCAGCGTTTGGCTGAATAAGTGATGGATCCCGAGGTTAGACCGAACTTTACATCCTTGACTACCCTTTAGCGGCGTGATCGCGGAAAAACCGCTTAACTTTTGCATCGTCGTTAATGCGGTTGATAGTTCCTCGTTGATTGGGCGATTAGTAGTGAGGTGCATGAAAGGGAGATGGCAGTGGGATCTTTGTATTCGGTCAGCAACCCTGTTCCTGAAGTATCCGCTTCTTCCGCTGGTTTTAGACTAGTCTCTCCCCATTGAGTTTCCCCCAGTTTCTGTGCTGGTTTTCTTTTTCCTTTGGGAATACTCGTTAGTCTTTCTGAGTAATGAGCACCCCATTGTCTTTCCCTTGGTATGATTCTATTTTGTGTGTAACTTCTGTAACCCATCTGCCAGACTTGCGAGGGTAGGTGGCCGTTTCCTTTCCCTTAGTATCTTCAGTATACACAGCGCCTAGGAGTTTGGTTTGTTTGTAACCGGGAATCGAATTCAGGACTGCATCCTTGCCAGGCAGGCGCTATGCCACTAAGCTAAATCCCCGGTTCTGAGACTGTCTGTATCTTGAAAATCATTTTTTTCGAGGAAAAACATTACTGAAGTATGGGGGGAGAGGGGCGGCTATTTTGATAGATTCTAGGTCCTTACAGGTTTTTGGTTATCACTATCTGAGACACAAATGTAAACCCAGAAGGTTATAATATGTGTTTAGATTTGATAGGACTGGATTGAAAGTGAGTGATACGTTTATAAAGCACTTTACAGGTTTGTGTTAATCTCTGGCATTAATGGCTGAGATTGACTAGACTCCCAATTAAACTATGTGGCCAGCTCTTACAGTTGTTGAATAAGTTACTGAGACATTCCTATTACATGCAAGTATGCAATGACTACATCTAGTTTTGTCTTACAAACTGGGATGCTTTGGAAAGTGTGTTCTCATTTCACAGATTTGATTCTCATTCTACAGCATGCAGTGGAGCTCCATGAGTCAATTGTGCTTGAACTGTGAAGAGTATGATCTCTTTTATCTAGGCAGGAACATTTGAGTCCTTGAATTCTTCCCATTTGCATAAAACAGTTGGGGCTTTTTTCAGGTCACTAGCACTTTGAGAATCTAATCATACTTGTGGATCCTCTTCCCAGCAAAAAATATGCAGTATCTTTCATTTTCTTATGTAGTATTGGGGAGTTGACTGGGTTACTGAAGTCCATTAATGGGTCTTAGATTATGAATCCCATTATAAATATGAAAATGTTAGAGGGAAGGTGTTTACCAAGATTTTTTATTCTTCTTCTTCTTCTTTTTTTTTTTTTTTTTTTTTTTTTTTTTGTCTTTTTCCTTTATATCGGTACCGGGGATCGAACTCACGACTGCCTGCTTGCAAGGCAAGCGCTTATGCCGCTGAGCTAAATCCCCAGCCCTCGTTTACCAAGATTTTGAAGTTGAAGCATTATGGGTTATTTCTTAGCATGCCAGTGGTTGAAATACAGAAGTAAATAGCTATTCAGTATAAATGTGAATTTTTAACAATTTGGAGGGTGGTGGGCAGTGGGCAGTGTGGTGACTCACAATTGTAATCCCAGCACTGGAGCCAGAGACAGGAAGATCCCCACAAGGTCAAGATCAGCCTTAACTAGTAGCAAGATCCTGTCTCAAAAAACTGAAACCAAACAAAACAGTTAAAGGGTATAATTAGCATATAACTTGCACATACTTGAAATATATAAATTGATAAGCTTTAGTCTGTGTAACACTCTGAAATACATGTGTTTATTTACAAAGGTTGGGAAATAAATAGCTTGAGTACAATAGGGCAGTCCTAGACTATTGATTTTCTCCCCTCCTTTGTCTTAGGCCAGAATACAAAGCGTGAATCTGGAAGAAAAGTTCAGTCTGGAAACATCAGTGCTGCTAAGGTAGCGTATTTTTTTAAGTGTTATAGTAGTTTGCCCCTAGCCTCCTTCTCTAATATTTCTATGTAGTTAGCCAAAAGAGAAGTTGACTTCCCTTCTTTCAAGAGATTTTCCTATGATGGTAGAGAAAAAGAAGCCCCCTCTTCCTATGAGTTAAGCCTAATAATCTTGTCTTTTTCGATTTTATCAGTACCAGGGATCGAACTCACGACTGTCTGCTTGCAAGGCAGGTGCTTATGCCGCTGAGCTGAATCCCCAGCCCCGTAATAGTCTTCTTATATTAACCTATGCATAGTTCTATTGCTATATATATTTACATATATTATAGTATCTTTTGCTATCTCCCATATCAGTCTTGAGTTACTGGAGTGGGAAGATTATTGGTTCCCTTTTGTATTCTGGTACCCCTCTGAAGTCCTGTAGAGGTATTCCATAAATGTATTTTTAATGAAGTAATAAAATGGCCTGAGATCTGACTTAGGTTGAGAATGGAGGCCACTGTCATGGAAGGAAATGCACAAAAAAAAGAGAGATCAAAACTCAGACTGCGTGAAAACTAAAACATGGGGGGTATCCTTGTTTCTTGGGAAAAGTTGGGGGCTTTTGGTTTTTTTGTTTGTTTGTTACTATATCTAAAACTAAACTTTTGAGGTATCACTGTTAAAACACTGACTGTGTAGGTTGCTATACAACTCATTCTCACTGTTTATTGATTGGGCCTGCATGTCTTACATTTCCTTTCCATTAGACTATTGCAGATATCATTCGAACATGTTTGGGACCCAAGTCCATGATGAAGGTAGGCTAATCTCTTACTGAAACTAAGGCTGCTAATTTTTTCTTTGTTTTCTGGGACACCTAATTCGGCTTTTTTGTCTTAGATGCTTTTGGATCCAATGGGAGGCATCGTGATGACCAATGATGGCAATGCTATTCTTCGGGAGGTGTGTTTATTTTTCTCATTTTTCTTTTTAAACTCAAAGGATCAGATAAGATAGATGTAGCTGTTGGTTCATTTCTTATGGCTGCTGTACAGATGACTAAATTGGGTGGTTTTAAAACATAAGCTTGGGGCTGGGGATTTAGCTCAGCGACATAAGCGCCTGCCTTGCAAGCAGGCAGTCGTGAGTTCGATCCCCGGTACCGATAAAAAGGAAAAAGACCCAAAAAAAAATGTAAAAAAAAAAAACAAAATAATAAGCTTATAGGACATACTAGCGCATACCTACAATTCCAGCACTCAGGAGGCTGAGGCAAGAGGATACTAACAAGTTCAAGGCCAGTCTAGACTACATAGGGAGTTCAAAGCCAGCCTGAACAACATACTGAGACGCTGTCTCCAAACAACAAAGCACGCAGTTCACCCATAATGGTGCAATAAATAAGCTAGAAGATACTGTTCTGTCTTCCAGAAACTTAAATTGAGTTCTCATGATGTCTGCCCCACCCCTCCAAAAAAGGCACTTGGAAAAGTGACCTGTATACAAATTTTTATTTATTTATTTATGTACCAGGGATTGAACTCTTGACCACGTGCTTACCAGGCAGGCACTTATGCCACTGAGCTAAATCCCCAGCCCCAAAATCCCAAAATATCTGGTTTACAATCACAGGGGTGTTTTTGTTTTTGTTTTGTTTTTTGTACTTGGAATCAACGTGATGACCTTGCCCTTGCCAGGCAGGCACTTATGCCACTGAGCTAAACACCCAGCCCCAGGTACTAGAGATGAGGAGCATTAATCTTGAAGGTATACTAAAACAATAAAACGTAAGAGTATACATATAGAACCAAGAAGCTGAAGGTAGTGATTCGGTGGTGATTAACTTCTTTTCTCCTCAGATTCAAGTCCAGCATCCAGCAGCCAAGTCAATGATTGAAATTAGCCGGACGCAAGATGAAGAGGTTGGAGATGGAACTACATCAGTAATTATTCTTGGTAAGAGGAGAATGGAAGATTGAAAAGGAAATTTTAGAAAAGGTCTATGTTTTGGGTTGTGAGCCACACCATTATCCTAAGACGATGGGAGGCTAAGGCAAAAGGATTGTAAATTTAATCCCAGCTTGGAGCAAGTTTTTAAGACTGTCTCAAAATAAAGAAGCCAAGTGTGGTGGTACACACCTGTAATCCAAGCATTTGGAGGCTCTGGCAGAAAGAAAAAGGGTAATGTGAAGGCCCTGAGTTTAATGTGTAATACTATAAATCGGGCCTAGGATTTAGCTTAGTGGCACAAGTACTTAGTGGCAAATGCAAGATCATGAGTTTGATTCCCCAATCCCCCTCTCCCCAAATAATGTCTCTAATACTGTAAATCCCAGCAGTCTTGAAAACTGAATCAGGAGAATCATAAGTTCAAGGCCAGCCTGGGATATAGTGAGACCTTGACCTGGCCCACAGGTCAGTCCGGATCCGCAGGGCAGTTTCCTGGGAAAGGAACGGGGATTAACACAGACAGCGTAGGAGACAGAGGGATGGAGACAAGTCGAGAAAGTCCGATCAAGCCTCATTTATTGATAAAGTGGTCGCTGCTTTTATAGGGCAGGGGCGGGTTGGTGGGACAGGAAGAGGCTATGGGGTGATCTCTGATGGGTCATCGTCACGTCCGTGTATGTGATGTAAATAGGAGAGGATTGTGGTTAATGTAGGTGCATTATGTGTCCATATGAGGGAGACAGCAGCGGGGCGGTCGCACCGCTCCCTACAAGACCTTATTTCAAAATAAAAATTTTAGCACATATGTGAATTCACAAACAGAGTTTTTAAAATTTATATATTTATTTATTTATTGGTCTTTCTGAGACAGGGTCTCACTATACAGTTCAAGCTGGCCTTGAACTCACTTTGTAGCCCACTCTGACTTTTAACTCACAGCAGTCCACCTGCCTCAGCCTCCCAAGTGTTGGTATTACAGGCCTACGCCACCACACCAGGAAATCTTTTGAGGGAGACTGAACAACATTTATTTCTTGCAGTTCCGCAGGCTGAGTACAAGGTTGAAGGCAAATATGAAATCTTAAAATAATGAGCCTCTCTTTTATAAGTTTAAAATTTATTTTACATTCATATAGAATCATAAAGGATGATTTCTGAAATCCAGCCACTTAAGGCAACTAAGACATCTAAATTTCAAGTTGATGGTAAACATTTTTAATAGATAACCCTCTCCCCAATGGTTCCATATGTGGTTCAGGCTGGCCTTGAATTTAGGCTTGGCTTGAACTTCTGGTACTCCTGCTTTAGTCTTCCAGAGTGCTGGGATCACAGGTGGGCACTACCAAGCCTGACAAATTTGAACCATGAAATAAAGCCTGATGACTATCTTTGATCATTTAAAAGATACATATAATAAGGATGTTCTTTTTATGAATTGGCTTATGCAAAGTGTAAAATTTCAAGTAATGTTGATAACCAAATGACATGTTTTGGGAAAAAAAGTATTTTTTAGAAACATAATGAAGTTGTCTTTTTTTTTTTTTTTTTTTTTCTGTCTTTTGTCCTTTTTATCGGTACCAGGGATCGAACTCACGACTGCCTGCTTGCAAGGCAGGTGCTTATGCTGCTGAGCTAAATCCCCAGCCCCTGAAGTTATTTTTAAAATACTTGTTCTTTTTAAAATATTTGTATGTAGTCAGGGTTGGTGGTGCTGGGGTAATCCAAGTAGTTGGAATGTTGAGGCAGGAGCATCAAGTCCAGCCTGGACTACTTAGTGAGTTCAAGCACGGTTTGAACTACATGGCAAGACCTCATCTCAAAATAACAAATAATAAAAATCATAACATATCATAAAATAACAAAATACTTTTGGTGGTGCTGTCCTTTTTTCCAGCGGGAGAGATGTTGTCTGTGGCTGAGCACTTCCTGGAGCAGCAGATGCACCCAACAGTGGTGATCAGTGCTTATCGCAAAGCACTAGATGATATGATCAGCACTCTAAAGAAAATCAGGTATGGAGAGCAGTGCGAGGAATGGGTCATCCAAGCTAGAAGGCCAAGAAGATGGGCCTATTCATAGAGGTAAAGGAAGGGCAAACATGTCTTACACATGTAGTTTATCTCTTGCTGTCATTTGGTTGGAAGGAGAAAATAAGGAACAGAGTAAGGGAAAGAGTTCCTAGGGTGACTTCTTCAGAATATATTTTGGTATATGCTGTAAGTTTCCATGTTGGTTATACATCACCATGGGCAATGTGTCAAAACTGAAATAGACTTAACCTTCAAAGATTTTAGGATTGAGCATGGTGGCTCATGTAATCCCAGGGGGCTGGGGCAGGAGGAACATTTCCAGTTCGAGACCAGCCTGGGCTACAAAGTGAGCTCAAGGCCAGCCTGAACTGCATAGAGAGACCCTGTCTCAAAAAAAAAAAAAAAAAAAAAAAAAAAAAAAAGATTTTAGGTTCTTGTTGGAGGACATAGTGATAACTATAATTATTTAGGATTTGATGTTAAAATATCCTATCATCACGTGTGACTAGCTGAACTCAGTAAGTACTGTGAGGCTGGCAGCGGCTCTTTCTCATTGAAAAGGATAGACTGAAAATGTAAGTTGTGTTAAGTAATTCTAGTACTTTGTATTAGTTCACATTTGTAAAGTACTAAGTCAGTAAATGACTTCTGTCTATCAGGAATATTAGTTGTAGCATAAGGTATAGTCACGAAAAGCAATCCTACTAATAAGACTTGTTCAGTGAGAAAAACATATGTGGCTGAGAATGTAGCACCATAGTAGAGCACTGGTCTAGCATGTGAAAGGCCCTCATTTAATCTCCAGCACACTAGAAAAAGCTAGAACCTGTGACATGGTGCTCTATTACATTGTTGGTTCACAAGATGCATAGATATTTAATAGTTTAGTAGACTTTGTATTATACTTGCTATTGTGATCTGTCTAGCGTACTGGCAGATAAGGTATATGGAGTTTTGTTTCGTTGGGAACAGTGTTTTTGTTTGTAGGAGGTTTTTTTGTTATTACTGTTTTTATTTTGAAGACAGAGTCTCACTGTAATTTAGTGTATGTGTTGCCAAAGTGAGCACATCATTATGTAACTTAACCTGGCCTCAAACACTTTGGCAAAGTTCTTATCTCAAGTGCTAGAATTGAAGGCATGTAATACCATGCCCAGTTGATGTAATTATTTTTGTGAAATGAGCTATGCAAGTTTTATTGAGTGTTTGGCTGAAATGATCAGGAGATCATTTTGGGAGAGGGCACTTTAGGGCACTGTTGGACCAAACTTAGGGCTTCACACATGGCTAGGCAAGTGCTGTACCACTGAGCTATATACCCTACCCCAAAATCTTTTATCAGGTAATAATGATCTACATTTTACTTTTTATCTTAGATAATGGTTTTGAAGCTATTGCTTCCTAAAATTCATAATTCTGAGGCAAGGGAAATGATTGAAATGTTTTGTGTATGTACAGTTCTGCCAAAATGAAATCCATTAACCTGCATAACCAATGTGAAAATAAAAAGTGTGGGGAAAAGTCCATAATTCAACCACCATATTTATCACAAAAGTGCCAATACTGCAAATAAACCTGAATACTGGAGTTTTTTGGGAGGGGACTAATACATTAATGTCTTTTCTTGAAAGAAAAACAATACACGCCATAGATTTGTTACCACTGGAGGTTTGTACTGTTACAAAGGAGATTTTAGCAGCATGCGAAAATTTGGGCAAATGGTTATCCGAGGTGTCTTACAGATGGTCTTGACGTATACAAATTTGTAATCTTGTGAGGGGAGACTAACATAAAAGCAGAAAGTAACTACTGTGATAAACCATGATTTAGTAGAAGAGAATCCACTATTCATAATGCGTAAGACTAGTAATTTAATCAAAAGGCAATTCTAGTTCTGTATGGGGTAAAGGATTGTCAACAAAATAACTTAATCTTGGTTATAAACACTAAAGAGTATTTGGTTGAAGCCAGGAGATAAGGAAGAAATTACCCTTCTGTAAGCTTTGTATGTATAGAGTTGTCAGATGGGAATTGTTTTGAGAATTATAGCACCTTCTAGGAATAAAGTTGTAATCTTTTTGCCTTTGTGATACTGGGGATTGAACCCACTGTCTTTCTGTTGAGCTATATCTCCAGTCTTTTTTTATTGTGAGATAAGGTCTTGCTAAAGCTGCGTAAGTGCCTGGACTGGGCTTTTTTTTTTTTTTTTTTTTTTGTCTTTTTGGGACAAGGTTTCACTGTGCAGTTTAGGATGGCTTTGAGAACTCATTTGGAAGCCCAGGCTGAGCTGGAACTCAAAACTGTCCTCCTACCTCAGCCTCCCAAAAGTGCTGGGATTACAAGCATGCAGTACCACACCTAGCTGGGTTAGTTGTAATCTTGGTGAAAAGCTTGAGGACAGATTAACACTGGTTGTTGATCTCCCTTTCAGTTTCCTTGCAAAGAACCCTTGTCTCTGCTTCTTGGCTTACTGTTAGTCTCTTAAGATATATATGAGAAACTTCTTCAAGTATGTAAATTGTCTACTGACCATATTGCCTTGCTTTCTTTTCTCCAGCACCCCTGTTGACATCAATAACCGTGATACGATGTTGAACATCATCAATAGCTCCATTACTACCAAAGCAATTAGTCGGTGGTCTTCTTTGGCTTGTAATATTGCCCTGGATGCTGTCAAGACCGTACAGTTTGAGGAGAATGGTCGGAAAGAGATCGACATCAAAAAATATGCAAGAGTGGAAAAGGTGAACTTCATATGTGCTTCACAGATTATTTCTGGGCACAGATCATCCCACTTGTGTAGGAACTACTTCTTCATCGTCGTCTTCATCTTCTCCCCTCTTCCTTTCCTCCCCCTCCCCTTCCCTCTCCCTCTTTTTTTTTTTTTTTTTTTTCTTTTCTTTTTATCCTTGAAATAAAATGGATTTGGAACTACTTTTAAATCAGAGCAAAATATCTGTAGTTAAAACAAGGAAGAGTAATATACTTGCATCCTGGAAAGAGGCTATCAAAGAACTCCTGAACTAGTTTTGTGACCCTCGTTGCTGTCTTTACACTAGAAGGCTTATAAGGGCTAGGGAAAGCTTATCAGTATGTGCTTTTTTGCCTTTGTATACATAAGTCGTTTGGTCAGAATATAAACCTAAAGGCTAATAAGCCTGTATTTTTGTCTGTTTCTACTAAATTTAAGGGGGTGAAACTATGGAGCTAATAGTTTTGTCCAGTAGATGGAGCTCAATCCCCAAAACTCAAGGTAATATCTTTAGAACCAAGTCTCTTGTAGTTGTTTTAGTTAGGTCTTTGTGAGGAAAGAAGTACCTTAGAAACTTGAAGTTGGCTGGGGATTTAACTCAGTGGCGTAAGTGCCTGCCTAGCAAGTGCAAGGTCATGAGTTCAATTCCCAGTACCAGAAAAAAAGAAACTTAAAGTGGTGGTCATTTGGTCAGGGTGGGAGGGGAGGATTGAAATGGAAGTGAGAAATTGTCTTCTCTTGGTTATGGACTTTTTTTTTTTTTTTTTTTTTCTCAGATACCTGGGGGCATCATTGAAGACTCCTGTGTCCTACGTGGCGTCATGATTAACAAGGATGTGACCCATTCACGAATGAGGCGCTATATAAAGAACCCTCGAATCGTGCTGCTGGATTCATCTTTGGAATATAAGAAAGGAGAAAGCCAGGTAAGATTCTTAGCCCTGTTCCTTAAAGTAGAACTAGAACATGACTGCTGATAGAATAAGAAAGTAAAAGGTATGTTTATTGTGTGTCTGTTGTGTCCCAGTTGTGACAGTATTCCTTGAAAAGTTTTTATCGGTACCAGGGATCGAACTCGCGACTGCCTGCTTTGCAAGCAGGTGCTTATGCCGCTGAGCTAAATCCCCAGCCCCATCCTTGAAAATAGTTTTTATTGATTTTGGGTGTTTTTTGTTTTTGGTACTAGGAACTGAGCTCAGGACCTTAGGCTAGCCAAGCAGACACTGCGTCACTGAGCTAAATCCTCGACCCCTAACCTTGGTGTTTTTGTTTTTGTTTTTGTTTTTTTTGTATTTTTCATTTTTATCGGTACCGGGGATCAAACTCACGACTGTCTGCTTGCAAGGCAGGCCCTTATGCCGCTGAGCTAAATCCCTAGCCCCCTAACCTTGGTTTTTTTGAGATAGGGTCTCGCTATATAGTTTAGGCTAGCCTTGAACTCACTATGTAGCCCAGGGTGACCTAGACCTTGTGGAGACCTTCCTGCTTAGCTTCATGAATACTGAAATTATAGGCTTGTGTTACCATGCCTGGCTCACAGCTTTAGCTTTATAACTTAAATTTTCTGGGGTACATCAGAAAGGTCCAAGGGGAAAGGAATATAGTCATTGGGGTGACCTTGGGGCGCCTCACCAGGCCAGGGATTTTTATTTTAATTTTATTTAACTTTTTTATTTTTTCTTGAGACAGTCTAGCCATATAGATCAGACTGGCCTTGAAATCACTATGTAGGTACCAAAAAAAAAAAAGGAAACAACTCACTATACAGTATGGGCCCAGGCTGGCCTCAGATGTATGGTAGTCCTCCTGTCCCCAGGCTCCCAAGGACATGTGCCATCATGCCTGGCCAGAGATTTTTGTTTTTTTTGTTGTTTGTTTTGGCGGGGTTTTTTTCTCTTTTTTAGACAGGGTCTTGCTGTATAGTTCAGGGTGGCCTTGGGCTCACTTTGTAGCCCAGGCTGGTCTCAAACTTGCAGTGATCCTCCTGCCTCAGCCTCCTGAATGGTGGATTAGTGGAGTGCACCATCATTCCTGGTTCCTGGCCAGAGATTTTTAAATCATTGTCTTTTCTTTATCACACAGACCGACATTGAGATTACACGAGAGGAAGACTTTGCCCGAATCCTCCAGATGGAAGAAGAATACATCCAGCAGCTCTGCGAAGACATCATCCAGTTGAAGCCTGATGTGGTCATCACAGAAAAGGGCATTTCAGGTAGGACTATATTAATCTGTTAACGTAATAAACATATGACAGACTACCTAGGACAAAACCAGTTTAGAACCTAGGAGCCTGGCAATCAGCTTCACATCTCTGTTCTTGGGTTTACAGATTTAGCTCAGCACTACCTCTTGCGAGCCAATATCACAGCTATCCGTAGAGTTCGGAAGACAGACAATAACCGGATTGCTAGGTGAGTAGGCAAGGTAAAAATGATATTCTTGCTTCCCATGTTTCCCTTTTTGTAACTGTATAGTGTTATTAGCTGAAAAGATAGTACAATAATAGGTAGGAATGAGCTAAGATAGCTGTCTGCCCTTTTCAGTAGCCTATAATGTAGCAATTAGCCACTTTGTGAGTCCCTTCACTACCAGCCCTGGCCATTAGTGAGGAGGTTATACTTAGACGTGTAATTGCTGCCTTGGTAGATCCAACATGTTTCTAAGTAACACCTGGTCAAAGACTGTTCTTAAATGTAATACTGGTGCTGCTGAATGAATGTTTCTAGAGGGGTCTGTTTTAACTGACTCAGAAAAGCAGAACCTTGATTAGATCCTTGGCAGTTACTTATATAAGTCTAGACTGCATTTATTATGTCTGCACAGATGTCTATATTCAGATACCAGCTACTTTTAGTACTAACATAAAAGTAAATATACCCTACTGCATAGTGGGTTTTGTTTTGTCACTGTAACAAATACCAGGGATCAACTTATAAAGAGAAAAGGTTTATTTTGACTCAGACTTATTTTGTTGTTTTATGATGGGGTTGTTTGTTGTTTTTTATTTTGTGTTTGTTTTGAGATAGGGACTTGCTTAAGTAGTTCAGGCTGGCCTTAAACTCACTGCGTGGGGGCCTGAACTTGTGGCAATCTCTGCCTCAGCCTTTTGAATGCTTGGGTTATAGGCATGTACCACCATGCCCAGCCTGACTCGGGTTTCAGAGTTTCCAGTCTGTGATCATTTGGCTCCAATGCTTTTGGCCCTATATCGAGGCAGCACATCATGGTAGGAGCACATAGTACAACAAAATTACTTGTGCTGTGGCCAGGAAGTAGTAGAAGGGGGCTGGGTCTCACTGTCCTCTTGAAGGCCACATGCCCAATGACCTGAAGACCTCCCATTCAAAGTATAAGCTGGGCTTGGTGGCACACGCCTATATTCTCAGTACTCAGGAGGCTAAGGCAGAAGGATTGCTGTGAGTTTAGGGCCAGCTAGGGGGCTACATAAGCGACTTAAAGGCCAGCATGTACTACATAGCAAAACACTGTCTCAAGCACCCCCGCCAAACATATTATTGTACCTATTCACATTTATCAGAGATGTGAATGGCTGTGGGCACACAAATGCATATACTTAGTTGTCATGGATTAGGGAAAGAAGTGACAAGTCTGTCCCATTAAAACTGGGTCTAGGGCTGGGGATTTAGCTCAGCAGCATAAGCGCCTGCCTTGCAAGCAGGCAGCCATGAGTTTGATCCATGGTACCGATTTAAAAAAAAAAAAAAAAAGACAAAAACTGGGTCTAATAAGACACACACATACTTAATCACCTTCCTATTATTTATTAGTTTAAGGAAACTTGGCCTGTTACTTTTGTTGTTGTTTTGTGTTTTTTGGGTTTTTTGATACTGGGAATTGAACTCAGGACTACACACTTGCAAGGCAGGTGCTTATGCCACTGAGCTAAATCCCTGGCCCATTGGCCTGTTATGTTTGAAATCTTTTCCAACAGACATTTGGGACATGTCAGGCAGTTTTAATGAGACTGACTTGTCACTGCTTTCCCTAATCCATGGAGGGGTGTTTGAGACAGTGTTTTGCTATGTAGTACATACAGGCAGTGTTTCTAGCAATCTACTTTATCCCTAATCATCCCCAGCCTCAGACCATAGACCAGAGATCTGAAATCTCCCCACTTCCTCAACCCACTAGAGCCTGTGGGGCCCGCATAGTCAGCCGACCAGAAGAGCTGAGAGAAGATGATGTTGGCACCGGAGCAGGCCTGCTGGAAATCAAGAAAATTGGAGATGAGTACTTCACATTCATCACTGAATGCAAAGACCCCAAGGCCTGTACCATTCTCCTCAGAGGAGCCAGCAAAGAAATTCTCTCGGTGAGTCAACCTTAGAAATACGGCAGCTAAAGTCCACTTCTAGAGTTTCCAGAATGCCTCAGATCATGCTTATGTCAGTCACAACTTTTCATTACATAACAAATAACCTGAGAGCCAGGCCTGGTGGTACACACCTGCAAGTAATCCCACCTATTGGATGGCTGAGGCAAGAGGATCACTGTGAGTTCAAGGCCAACCTGAATGTCATAGCAAGTCCATGTCTCAAAAAAAAAAAAAAAAAAAAAAAAAATCTAAGGTGTTTTTGTTTCTCATTAGAGGAATGAAGCGTCACACTGGGATTAGAAGCCATAATCTGCACTGAGGACACAGCCCCAATGACTGGGAGACTTTTTTTCTACTTAGCACCACCTCTGTAGTTCCTACCACCTATAAGAGGCCCATGTTAGGGATGGGCTCTGCCATTGAGCTGCAGAACCCTAGCCCTTTTTTTAAGTTGAATTATAAATACTACTTTTTTTCCTCAATGAGACTAAGTAACTTTTTCAAAGGCACATAGAGAGTAAAAGTTTCCATACACCTTGCAGTCCCCTAAACCACCACAAGTAGGAAGGTATAAAAATGGAATTTAGGGGCTGGGGATTTAGCTCGGCAGCATAAGCACCTGCCTTGCAAGCAGGTAGTCATGAGTTTGATCCCCGGTACCGATTTAAAAAAAAAAAAATGGAATTTAACTGTAACATAGTAAACAAACAACACACACACACCACACACCACACACCACACACACACACACACACACACCCACCCACCCTCTTTGGCCTGGAGGTACGCATTCTTCTCCCATTGAGGGGTTTCAGAGGCCTTGCCTGCTTACCTCTGTGGTTTACTAGTCTAGGAAGATAGGAAGCCATTGGTGTCTGATTTCTCCATGAGTTGTCTGTTTGCTTCCCAAGGAAGTAGAGCGCAACCTACAGGATGCTATGCAGGTGTGCCGCAATGTACTTCTAGACCCTCAGCTGGTGCCAGGAGGTGGAGCCTCTGAGATGGCTGTGGCCCATGCCTTGACAGAAAAATCCAAGGCCATGACTGGTGTGGAGCAATGGCCCTACAGGGCTGTAGCCCAGGCTCTGGAGGTCATCCCTCGCACGCTCATCCAGAACTGTGGTGCCAGCACCATCCGTCTATTGACCTCCCTTCGGGTGAGTCCCTCTCCTGATTATTGTCTGAATGGAGTAGGGGAAACAGTCATTGGCCTAAGGGATGGTTTTCATATTGACTTCCCCTTGTGATTGGTCCCCTAAAGTCTGCCTTTTAAGTTTTGATTTGCTGTCTTTACCTTTTATACCTTCTGTACCAGTTCATTGTTTCTGATGTTTTCTGATAGGTCACTTGTTCCAGTATTTTCTTTGAACTACTTTTGTTTACTCCAACTGCAGGCCAAACACACACAGGAAGGCTGTGAGACCTGGGGTGTAAATGGAGAGACAGGGGCTTTGGTGGACATGAAGGAACTGGGCATATGGGAGCCTTTGGCTGTGAAGCTACAAACATACAAGACAGCAGTGGAGGTGAGGATGTTATATGGCATTGGTATGCTGCTTATTTCCATATGGCCAGAAGCCATTTGTGTTAGGCCTAGTCTTGGAGGGGCAGTAAAATGTAAGAGTGTTCCCAAAGATTGTCCAAGGAATTCCATTTCCCCATCTTTCATTTAAAAGCAAGGTAACTTAGCACAAGCCTGCATTGCTTAAGAATATCTGTTTTGGGCCAGCGATTGAGCTCAGCACAGACACCTGCCTGGCAAGTACAAAGTCAATGAGTTCGGTCCCCGGTACAAAAAAAAAGAATATCTGTTTTACATTCAAGACACTGGAAAGGTAGATTTCAGATAAAATGGTAATTCTGTGGGGCGAGCTAGATTTGTTTAAAAGAAAACAATATGCTTCCCTTCTCCTCTGACCTCTTTGAAACTGGTTTTTCTCCTAGACGGCAGTGCTGTTGCTGAGGATTGATGACATCGTCTCAGGCCACAAAAAGAAGAGTGATGATCAGAGCCGGCAAGGCGGGGCTCCTGATGCTGGCCAAGAGTGAATGGTGGGCAAGGCAACTTCAGCACACAGACCAGCAGTCCTTCCTTTTCCTCAACCAGTGTGCCAGGAACACTGTGGACGTCTTTGTTTGGAAGGGATCAGGTTGAGGGGCAGCCCCAATCCCTCTCTGTCCTAGCTCAGTTTGCAAAAGGCACTGACATGTAATTCTTCTCTATTGTAAGCTTTCCATTTAGTTTGCTTCCTATGATTAAATCTAAGTCATTTGAGATAGTTCTTACGTGTTTTTCAACCTTAGGTCATATCTCTATCTCCTGGCAAGTGGGAATAGGCAGAATGCTTTACTAGGTAGAACAAAAGATGGGAATTAAGGTCCGTAAGTCTTATTTGCCTTCTTGAGAGGTTATTCAGATCTCCCATAAATCTTGCTGAAAGACTTGGGAGTTCCAAGGATGATTCTATAAAGATGAAGAAATACCTTTTTAGCGTTGGCAGTAGTAGCTCAGTAACAAAGTCCTTTGCCCAGCATGTATGAGGCCTTGGATCCCAGCACTGGCACAACTAAGTAAAAAGAAACACTGCTCTACATATACATCACCTAAAGAAAAAGAGGAACCTATCTGAAGTACAGGTGTTCCCAGTCTGATTTTATGTAGAGCCTCGCCCAATATATGGTAGGACTCAGCGTTTGTCTTAAAGGACATGTAACATCTCTTTTGGGTGAAAATGTTACGGAGGCAGACTTTAATATCTTCCTTATCCTTCCTCCTTTTTAAAAAGGTATAAAGGAATTTTATTAGGCAAAAATTTAGAAATAGACATTCAAAGAAATAGTGTGAGCCCTTGAGCAAAGGGTACAGTACCATTGGAACTGGGAGCACTTGTGTGTCTTCAGTGGTGGAAATCTGAGGAATTTATAAACCTATAGGAAGTTAACTCTTGGTCTTTATAGGAGAATGGCCCACCCACAGAAAGATAATGGCCCATTTTATGGACAAATGGCATAAACCCCACATCAAGTTTTTTAAAGATGTTTTCCTTTAAAACATTCTTGAGATTCAATCTGTTAAGATCAGGTTTCTGCCATTTACTGAGTGTCATAACCTACAGCTGCTAACAATTCAACTTCACATGTATTACTCATGGGTCCTCGTGATCTGTAAATTTTTTTGCGGGGGGCAGGTACTGGGGATCAAACTCAAGACCTCACACTTGCCAAGCAGGTATTTTTGCCACTGAGCTAAATCCCTGGCCATGATCTGTGTATTTCATTTTAAGAAATTTTTATTTTATTGAAGCAGGAGCTCACTGTGTAGTTTCGACTGACCTGGACTCACTATATAGTCTAGGCTGATCTCAAACTTAAGGCAATCATCCTGCCTTGGCTTCCCAAATGCATGTACCCCCATGTCCAGTCTTTTTTTTTTTTTTTTTTTTTTTTTTTTTTTTTTTGTCTTTTTCCTTTTTATTGGTACCGGGGATCGAACTCAGGACTGCCTGCTTTCAAGGCAGGTGCTTACACCGCTGAGCTAAACCCCCAGCCCTTTTTTTTTTTTTTGGTAAGTAAAAATATTTGCTTATAGGGGTTGGGGATTTACCTCAGCCACGTAAGTGCCTGCCTTGCAAGCAGGCAGTTGTGCATTCAATCCCTGGTACCGATAAAAACAAAAAAGACAAAAAAAAAATACTTGCTTATAAACATACTATGTACTTGTAACATTAAAAAATTAATTTTCAAAACCCCCCAAAAAAGGAAAAACATGAAATGTAAGTAAACCTAAAGCATATTAATAGATAACTTTGGGTAACTGTTCTAGATTTGTCTTCTTTTTGTTGGTTTTTTGTTATGTTTTTCTCTTTTTTGACAGGGTCTAACTATGTAATTTAGTTTGTGTTTGAACTCACTATATAGTTCAGGTTGGTCTCATTCATGCCAATCCTCCTGCTTCATCCTCCCGAGCCCCGGGATTGCAGGTGTGCTCTCTACCACCATGTGCAGCTTTCATCAGTAGTGTTCACTTTTGTTTGTCCAAAGGTGTTACTTCTAGTACAAGTGGAGTTAAAGGGTATATGGAATCTGGGGCTGGGGATTTAGCTCAGCGACATAAGCGCCTGCCTTGCAAGCAGGCAGTCGTGAGTTCGATCCCCGGTACTGATAAAAAAATGAAAGAGACAAAAAAAAAAAAAAAGTATATGGAATCTTCTCTGTTTTGACAGACAAACCTAATGTTCTTTTTAATTACAACAGTGGGAAGGAATACACAAGATTTTTGTTACTATTGAAATTTTTACTAGGGCTCTGTTGTGGAATTGAAAACCTTTTTTGAATTACTGGCCCCAGATAATATAAACAAGAGTTAGGCATGGTAGCACATGACCGTAATCCCAGCATTCAGGGATACTGAGACAAAAGGATCATGAGTTCAAGACCAGCCTATACTACATGTAAGACCCTGTCTTCAAAACAGTATATACTGCTTACTAATACATTCCAAGTAACTAGAATGTGTTTGCATGTGTTAACTTTCACATCAACCCTGTACAAGGGGTAATAGCCCTCATTTGTGTGAGTGAGAATATATAAAGTCACATGTCCACGGATCACAGAAGTGTTTAGGCATAGACCTGGGGTTTGTATGTGGGAGCCTAACCAGGATTCCTACTGGCTGTTTGGACTGAACTGAGGAGAGCAAAGGGCTAAAACCACCTCTGGACACCCTGCTGCTATCAGGCCTAGCTTGAGCTTCCTTCACTTTACCCTAAAACCATCTGCTTTTACTTTTCTATAAGGGACTCTAAAATAAGCCTAAGGCCTTTTGCGCAAGTCCCTGCCTCTACTAGAATGTTAATTGCCTCAGCCCTTAATCTTGAGAGGCGGATGATAGGTTAATTCTCAAATTGACAGTTAAAATCTTGAAACACTGCTCTAAGGGTCTGAAGATGCAATTTAGGAGTAGAGAATAATCTACCATATGTGAGGCCTTGGATTCCGTCCCCAGCACAACACAGAAAACATTTCCAAGAGCTGAGCATGGTGTCAATCCTGGCATTGAGGAGGCTGAGGCAAGAGAATCTGCTCACACTTGTCTTATTTATAAATACATAAATAAAAAGAGCTGAAGAATTGAGCAAGTCCTGAGGTTAGCTGGTCACACCCTAGGGGTTCTTACACATCTGTGTATTCTTGGGTCAGCCATCTGGGTACTTTTTGTTTTCTGCATTACAATGTCTCCTGCCTCTAAACATAAATTGTGGCATATTAGATAAGTCTGGACTCCAGCTTGCTTCTGGAATCCCTCTTCACTCAATTTTAATGGTGATTAAAAATCTGTATGAACCCTGTTCACTAAACTTAATAATTAGATGAATGTTTTTGCTGCCTCCTTAACTTTGTTCATGATTCTTCCCATTCCCAAATCCAGTAAACTAGAATTTTTCCCCCATAAAGCAGTGTTAAGTTTTTTTCCAGTGCTGGGAAGAACCCAGAGATGCTCTTATCACTGAGCTACATCCTCAGTCCTTTTTATTTTTGAGAGTTTTCCTCAGTGCTTTACCTAGGCTGGCTTTGATCTTGGATCTTCCAGTCCCAGCCTTCTGAGTAGCTAGAATTATAGGCATGTGCCAGATCTGAGACTTGTTTCTATTCTCATCGATCCCAGAGTTGATATTATAAAAGACTTCTCAAAGTTTTAGGATTAACAGATAGTTCCTCTTAAATTAACCATTTGGAAGAAAAAGATACAATTGGATCCCTGTTTCATTACAGCAGGATTAACTCCAGGCAGCTAAAAGATATAAAGAATGGTCCAAGTGTGATAATCTCAGCATTAGGGAGGCTGAAGCAGGAGGATTGCCATGTGTTTGAGGACAGTGTGGGCTACGTAGTTAAGTCTAGCCTAAAATACATTGCAAGACCCTGTCTCAAGTCAGTCAAACCAAAAACACCTAAATGAGAACATTAGGGGAAAAAGAATCAAGATACATAATGTACAGGTACAAATTCCCTATGATAAGTGTTACCATTATGTATACCTAAAATGCACCAATGAGATTAATTTAAAAAACAGAATAACAGGGATATAGCTCAGCAGGACAGTGTCTGCCTGGTAAGCACAAGTTCGTGAATTCGATTCTCAGCACACACACACACACTCAAAAAGAACCAAAAAAAAGCCACCAAAAAGTAGAAGAGCCAGACATCCAGATATAGTGGGGTACACCTATAATCCTAACTACCCTAGAGGCTAAAGCAGGAAGATTGCAAATTTGAGGTCAAAAATAAAGGACTGAATTGTATGGGATCCCTGGATTCAATCTCCAGTACTTAAAAAAATGGAGACAATGTTTGCAACATAAGAATGAAAATTTATGTCCTTAGAGTGCTTTTAGAGGTTAACAGGTAAGTGGCTGAAAATATAGCTCAGCATAAGAAGTTGGCGATTAAGAAAAACCTAACCTGGATTGATACAGCTCAGGGTCAAATATTTGTCCAGCGTGCTTGAAGCTAGAATTTCATCTCTAGCACTGCAAAATGAAAAGCCCTATAGTGAAATAGATAAAATGTATAAATTGTTCCAGGGAAACAAAAAGATGACACCAAGGTGTAGTGGCCCACACTTACAATCCCAGCAGTCAGGAAGCTGAGATAGGGTTGCCATGAGTTTAAGGACAGCTTGAGCTACAAAAGGAAACCCTATCTCAAAAAAATGTGCAGACATTCCTAAAGTTACTCAAGGAGAAATAGAGACCCAATTTGGTAAACACAAAGGGCCCTCAAACATGGTGTGAACATGGATTGTTAGACCTCATGCAAAGGGCAGTTTGGCTCAACTGTGCTACTCTTGGGTGTTTATCCTACAGAACTGGCTATGATACGTGAAATGCATGCATGAAGATTATCAGTGTTTGTTCTAGTAAAACAGGACTATTATCAGCAAGTTTCTGGTCAAGTATATTCATGGAGCATAACTGCAAGAAGAATGATCCTGGTCCAAGACTGGACACAGGACAGTCCTCAAGCAAAAAAAGCAAGTCGAAAAAAAAAAAAAAAAAAAGCAAGTCGAAGAATAATGGATGCCATTCCTATACAAATTATTGAATATGACAGAGTACTTTTAGAAGAGGCTAGGCATGGTGTCACATACCTGTGAATCCCCAACTGAGGCAGGAGGATCACTGTGAGTTCGAGGCCAGCCTGAACTGCACTACAAAACGCTGTCTCAAAAAAGAAAAATGAAAAAAATTCAGGGCCGAGGATTTAGCTCAGTGGTGTAAGTGCCTGCTCAGCAAGCACAAGGTTGTGAGTTTGATCCCCAGTACAAAAAAAAAAAAAAAAGATTCAAAGAAACACATAAGAGCCAGGCTTGTCATACACCTGTAATCCCAGCACTTGGGAGGCTGAGGCAGGAGGTTCACCGTCAGTTTGAGGCAAGCCTGGGCTACACAGCAAAACCCTGTTTCCAAAACAAATTTGTAGTGGTGGTTCGCTGGTAGGAAGCAGTTTGCTAGGAAATACAGATGACACTGTGATACCTTTCAAATTTTACACCATGAGTGTGTATTAGTCATACATAACTTAAGCAAAAACAAAGGCATATTTAGTTTGGTATGATGGTGTACTGTGATCCTAATACTCTGGGAGGCTGAGGCGGAAGAACTGCAAGATCACAAGTTTGACCTCAGCCTAGGCAACTTACTAAGCAAGATACTGTCTCTAAAATGTAAAAGCGAGTGCAGGGATTTAGTTCAGCGGCACAAAAACTTGCCTGGCAAGTTCAAGGTCATGAGTTCGAGCCCTGGTACAACAATAAAAAAAAGGTAAAAGGGGAGGCGAACATAGCTTAGGGGGAGGGCCTTGTGTTCCATGCGGTACTATCTACAACAATGTGCCTAAGGCTAGGTGTGACTGCCCTCTTGAAAAATAGATATATTGCTGTCTAATTTTCTGAGGGATCTTTACAATTCAATTGTTAACTCTTCTAGGATAAAAACCTGCATACCAAGCGCCCAGTAGATAATAGGTTGACAGAAACCTCTGTGTGTGCCATTCCGCAGAATTCCGTCCAGTTTTTCTTTGGACCTTCCCATCAGAGATGTACTCAGATCCTGTTTGTATCTTCAGCCCATACCATGCTCACTTTAGGTGACTTTCAGTGGGACTGGCTGTGTAGGAGACGCCAGGTCTATATCTGGAATATCTTGCTTGCCACCCCTGTTGGGGATGATTTACTTCCAGCTTCTCTGGTTCTGTTTCAACTCATGCTGAAATCTGGGTTAAAGGAGGCAGGTTCTTTAAGAACCGGCGTTGCGCCCCGCCCTCTAAAGAGATCAGCTGAATCACAGTCACGTGACTCTCCGAGTCTCTTCCGGCAGCTAAAGCTGCTGCAGCATGTACAGTTGTGGGGCGCTCCGCCGGGGTTGGGGGCACTGTGCCCCCAGCCCCATCCTCTTCTTCAGTCTGCTTCTGTCTGCCGCCCCATTTGGCCTGCTGGGGGAGGAAACCCGTCAGGTGAGGGCCGTAGAATCACAGCGGCAGAGGTTTCCGGAAACACTAAAATTTGGGGCAACCAAGGGGTGGGGGGTGGCCGCAAGAGTAGCGTTCTTTGCCCTGGAACCGGGATGTAGCCGTAAGCCACGAGGAAGGAACTGTGGAATGAGCAGGTATATGGCTTCCTGCCTTCCATCTTAATGAGGACCTGACTCAGCCTTGAATGACCCAGGTCCAGGGAAATGTTGGAGTTTTTTCTTCTCAGCTCTGTGCCCTGACCTCCTTCCTACCAGGTCCAGGCAATCCTGGCTCTTCTCCCAACTCCTTGACTCCATCTGGATCCTGCCATTTCTTCCAGGACTCTAAGCTTCTGTGTGCAGCCAAGGCCCCACACTACCTAGCACTGTCCCTTCCTCTCCCCCACTGTCAGGCTTGATTTTGCTGTCTCTCCTTGATCTTGTCCACACCCCTCCACTACTCCATGCTAGGTATCTCTGGAGGTACCGACCTGGCCTGATGTTCCCCAGAACCTGCTACATATCCGAGCAGTAGGCACCAACTCCACCCTGCACTATGTGTGGAGCACCCTGGGGCCTCCGACAGTGGTGCTGGTGGCCACCAACACCCCCCACAGTGTCCTCAGCATCAATTGGACCCGTCTGCTATCTCCTGAACCAGATGGGGGCCTGATGATTCTCCCCAAAGACAGCATCCAGTTTTCTTCTGCCCTCATCTTCACCAGGGTGAGGAGGTTGGTGGGGGGACCAGAGAAGAAAGGAGCACAGCAAAGATGGAGGGGGGTGGATGAGGTAGACTCAGATGGAAGGCCCGGGGCAAGGGAGGTGAGTGGCTCAGCAGGAACCTAGGCGAAGGCAAGCCCAGGTCCACTCCAACCCACCCCCAGCTGCTTGAGTTTGACAGTGCCACATCAGATGCTGCAGCAAAGCCCCCTGGAAAACCATATCCTCCGTACTCCTTGGCCGAGTTCTCATGGAACAACATCACTGACTCATTGTATCCTGCCACTCTGAGCGCCACCTTTCAGGGCCACCCTAAAGGTGACCCAACAGGGGCTTTTGCCAATGGCAGCCTGGCCTTCAGGGTGAGTGTGGGGAAAGAGTGGGAGGCCAATGGTTTGTTTCTGTGGGTACGAATTATGACAGGTGGAGCCCCCAGTCCAGGCTTTGGGTCTACTCCCATACCTCCTGTGTTTCTTCCTTTCTAGGTTCAGGCCTTTGCTAGATCCGGCCGACCTGATCAGCCTCCTCGCCTCCTACACACAGCAGACACCTGCCAGCTAGAAGTGGCCCTGGTTGGGGCCTCTCCCCGAGGAAATCACTCCCTGTTTGGGATAGAGGTGGCTACCGTGGGGCAGAGCCCTGACTGCCCCATGATTCAAGAGCAGCATTCCATCGATGATGAATATGCACCCACTGTCTTCCAGGTCTGGCCAGTGGAACAGGGACAGGCAGAGAGACCAGGATGTAGGTGGGACCCTATTAGGACCACAGAGAATCATTCAAGCACTTACCATTTTGCAATGCTTTCCTGGCCTCTTTTAAGTGCTGGGTAGTGTGCTAATGAATCCCACCTTTTGCCTCAAGGGAGACAGACCAAAGGCAGAACCAGATGACTACATCTCCAGATTAGGCTCTCCACAGGGGCCTACCATGCAGAGGAAGGAGCTGGGTACAGGATTGCAGGGTTCTAAAGAATTCTGCTCATCCAGGGCAACTACCCCCACTACAGATGCACGTAGCCTGTTACTTCTAGGCCCAACCTCAGGACTCTTGTTGCCCTTCAAACAGTGTCACTGACAAATGGGGACTGAGAGAGGCAGAGAAAGGCCAGGCTAATCGTGTCTTGGTTCTTCTCACCTGCTTCATTTGCCTTTCACTATAGCTGTACCAGTTGCTGTGGGGCTCCCTCCCATCTGGCTTTGCACAGTGGCGACCCGTGGCTTTCTCCCAGGAGAAGGCAGGCCGTGAATCAGCTCTGTCCTGCCAGGCTTTCCCTCTTCATCCCACCGTAGCACACTCTCTTCCCCAGTCACCTGTTGTCCAAGCCTTTTTTGGGCTCCAGGAAAAGTACTGTACCTTCAACCTGACATTTGGGGCTTCCACAGGCCCTGGCTACTGGGACCAACACTACCTTAGCTGGTGAGAGTCAGGTTGGGTCTGAAAGTTTGGGGGATGAACCCCCAGTTCTCCCTGTAAGTCTGCTGACCTGTTACTTTCCTTTTTTAGGTCAATGCTTCTGGGTGTGGGCCTCCCTCCGGTGGATGCCTTGTCTCCACTCATCCTGGGAATCATGACAGTGGCCCTGGGCATTCCAGGACTCATGTTGCTGGGGGCAGGCTTAACCCTGATCCTGCGCTGCAAGCACGCCTCAGAGTACCAATCCATAAATTGAGGTGCACTCTCTGCAGGGAAGGGCATGATTGGACCTGCCATGCTGTGTCTTGAATGTTGGAGCTTGGAAGATCAATATTCCCACTGGTTGGCTCCTCCTTGCCCTTTTTCCTCACCCATCTTGCTTTTCTTAAGAACCTCCCTCTGAGGTCCACCCTCAATTTCCTGAGGACCCCCAGGTGGGGCTTCTTGCACACATTGGGGAGGGGTATGGGTTGTTGCTAAAAGAAGGTCCTTTTTGTGTTCCCTTCATGTATTATCATTCCCTCCAAACCCTTTTCTAAGCTGGACCTGTAGTCCTAGCACTGAGGAGGCTGAGGCAGGAAGATCACCATGAGTTCAAGACCAGCCTGAACTACATAGTGAGATCCTGTCTCAAAGAGGGAAAAAAAAAAAAAAACCGTTTCCATTGGGTGACATTCAAAGGCCTGGAAGAATGCCCAGCTGGCTGCCTCTTCCAGCATGAAATAGAATTATTTTTTTCACAAGGTTCCTGTCTCAGTGTGTGTAAGTGGTGTTGGGTTGGTTTGAGGCTGATATCAGAGAATGGGAGGGATAAAAGATGGGCTTGGAAGTTGGGCCTCTGTTTGAGGCCCCGTTTGCCAGTTTTTTTCTGTTCCTCCTTGAAAGCCAAGGTTCCTGCCAGCCACCCCCCTACATGTGCAGTCTGAATTAGGAGAGACATTTGAGGCTGAGGAATGCAAAGAGGGAGAAAGCCAATGAAGACTGCTAGAGATTTATTGCTATACACATCCCCTCAAAAAATAGGTTAGCCTCAGCCACTGCTTCAACACTCCAGGTACACACATGCACACACATGCGCACTGCTCTGGGATACAGGGTTCCCTGTCCACTCTTGTCTTCCTGTAGAAGGCATGACTTCCAATAAGTCTAGAGGAGGGAAGTCTTAGGGGCTTGCACAGGTGATAGGAGGAGGTTCAGTTCAGGGAGGTGACTGAGGCTAAAGGGCCACTAAGGGTAGTGGTGGCAGGTCCTAAGCCCAGGTCCCCAGGAAGGTCTTCACTGAATGTGAAGCAGCATTTCCGGTGGCCTTGAGCTCCTCTGTCTCCACAACTGGTACAGAAGTGGCCAGAGCTGGGCCTCACAGGAAGCTGGAGAAGGGCAAAGTCCAACATTCGGGGTTTGGGAGGCAGCTAAGGTAAGAGCCATCCTTCTGTCTTGGTCCCTTGTCCTCTGTATCCTTAAAAGATGGCCATCTACATCTTTCCCTGCAAAATATGCCCCTCACCAGCTATGGTGGCACACATAATCCCAGGTGGGAGAATCTCTTAATTAAGAGTTGAAAGAGTTCAAGGCCAGCCTCAACCACATAGTGGGACCCTGTCTCAAAAAGGAAAAAAAAAAAAAAAAAAACCTCCCTTATACCGGTCTCAGGCTTCCAAAACAAAGGGAGAGCCAGGGTGAGGCGAGACTCTTGACTGCACAGAACCCTATGGGTGCAGCAAGGTTCCTCTCACCAGGTCCTCGGGCTAACGGGCGCATCCAAGTAGCTAGCTAAAGTGTGTCCAAGTCAGCCCCTCAGCCCCAGGGGCGTGGCCAGTAGTCAGAAGCGGAGTGGGCATGGTCCGGATAGTCCAGGCGGCTCTCTGAGGCTGTGAGCATGCGCTCTGGTTCCACCACAAACATGTAATAGAGGTTCCACACCAACATGGCCAGCAGCGGCAGGAACGTCAGGCCGTAGCCGAAGCCTCGGAAGGAGCGGCCCACAGCAAAGGACAGCCAGTATATCAACCTGCAGGCCAAGGCAACCAGTGAGGAAGGTTCACGGCAGGGAGAAAAGGGTTGATGCCTATACCTGTACTGTACTTTTTTTTTTGGTACTGGGAATCAAACTTAGAACCTTGCACTTGCTAGGCAGGTGCTGTCACACTGAGCTATGTCCCTGGCTCTGATGCTATACTTCCAAAATCAGTTAAACCGGGCGCGTGTTGTACTCCTGTAATCTCAACTCTCAGAGACTGAGGCAGGAGGATTGCTGCCAGTTCAAGGCCAGCCTGGACTACATAGCAAGACCAGGAGCAGGGCTCATTACTGTAAGTGTATTATTTAATTTTTACTTTCTCACCCCTCTGAGGTAAGTACATTATTCCTCTGCCTTCTTTTATTTAGTTTTGAACTTTTAATTAAAAAATTTTAAGTAGGGAGCTGGGGATTTAGCTCAGCGGCATAAGCGCCTGCCTTGCAAGCAGGCAGTCGTGAGTTCGATCCCTGGTACCGATAAAAATGAAAAAGACAAAAAAAAAAAAATTTAAGTAGGTAGCTGGGCGTGATGGCACATGCCTGTAATCCCAGAACTCTGGGTGGCTGACAGGAGGACTGCAAGTTTTCAGCTGAGTCTGGCCAATTTAGGACTTTCTCACAATTTTAAAAATGAAAAAGAATTGAATCCTTGGATTTAATCACCAGTACCAGGAAAAAAAAATTGAAGAACACTATGTATCCACATGACTCTAAATACAACGAATATTATAAAATATCTTATTCCCTTACCGATTCCCACATTTTCTCCCCATTCACATTGCAGGTATCCAATATTATGGTTTCTTGTGCTTTTTTTGTGTGTGTGAAAGGTTTTTGCTATGTAATCCAGGTTGACTTTGAGGTCAGTATGTAGTCCAAGTTGGCTTTGAACTTGAAGGGATCCTAAAGTCTCAGTTTTCCTTAGTATAGGAATTACAGGCATGTACTACTACACTTGGCTTCATCTTGAACACTGATTGTTTTATGTACACATAAATAAAATGTATTGTTGGGAATGGAACCCAAGGCTTTATTCATGCAAGCACTCTACCACCAACCTATACCCCCAGTCTGACTGAAAAGTTTTGCCTTCTTTTTCCCTTTTATGAAGTATGGTAGCATACTATATAAACCTCTGTATGCTGACTTTTTCATTTATCTTGGAGGTCACTTTAAATATATGCCACTTCCTCATTCTTGTACAACTGTCATGTGTCCCATTATATATTTGCCCACTTGCAGATTAAGAAACTAAGATTCTAAAGGGGTCTAAAGTCACACCTGGGAAATAGCAAAGCCATGATTTGAACTCAAGCCTGTTCATCACTCCCACTTAGTGCTTTTGAGGGATAGAAGGAAAGATGAGAGAAAGGAAGCCAGCTTCAAGCAGATTGGAAGCCCTGAATACCTGAGGGATGGATCAGCTATCACAAGACTTATTGCTGGAGAAGCCACTGCATGAGGGATGGAAGGGGAAGTAAAAGGAAATAAAATGTGTTATGTATACATACCAATTCCCTGCCATGAATATAACCTCTCAATACTGCGAACATGGACTGAGGAAAACAAAATAAAACAAAAAAGAGACTAAAGAAAAGCACCTGAAAATGCATACCCCTCAGCATGGGGGTATGGAAGCAGTGTCTTCCTAATATGAGTATGACATACTACAAAGCTGACACATTTCTTCTCCTGTGGCCTGGAAGCCCAGGAAGCTGCTGTCACCTTACTGCTGAGGAGGCTACACCACATCAGAGTTCCCATTCAGCGAGTCCTCTGGTGTCAGAGTGTTTTAATAGCTTTACTTGAATTAACTCATCTACTCCACATAGCTCCACATTCTAGATAATGAAACAGAGGCACAATAGGCTTTAAGACCTTGGCCTGAATGGGAGAAGGAAGGGGCTTGGATTCTGGTCCTGTCATGGTTACTGACCAGCCTGAGGAGTTCTTTGCAGTTGGTTGTGGTTTCCAGGCATGGTGGCTCACATCTGTAATCCCAGCACTCCGGAGGCTGAGGCAGGAGGATCGTTGTAAGTTCAAGACCAGCCTGGGCTACAAAGTGAGCTCAAGGCCAGCCTGAACTGCATAGTGAGACCCTGTCTCAAAAAGACAAAAAAAAAAAAAAAAAATAGAAAACCTGGACCAGACCATCACTAAGTTTCCCACTTTAGCTCCTTGTTGATTTTCACTCAACTTCTACATGAGACTAGTAGTCCCCAAGAGTCAGAGACAAGGCTGAGTTACATGAGGAGGAACATGTTTGTTTTGGGCAAATCTACTGGGAGAAAATGCAAAGTTGCATGATGTTCAGGAGGATGAGGGGACAGCTAGACTGCAATTGGAAGTGACCAGACTACTTAGTCTTTACAGGAAGAATATTTTACCACTTAAAGATACGATACATGGACTTATGTAGTGAAAGCAACACAGGAAATGTACCTGAGAAAAATGAAAATACTCCCCACTTTTTTTTTTTTTTTTTTTTTTTTTTTGGTGGTATCAGGTATCAAACTCATGACCTCACACTTGTCAGCAGGCACTTGTGCTGCTGAGCTAAATCCCTGACCAATACACCCATTTTTATTTGGTTTGGTTTGTTTGTTTGTTTTGTGGTCCCCCCCCCCTCCCTGTGCAGGGTGGGGTGGGGATCGAACATATGATCAAGCGCTTGCCAGGCAGGCACTTAAGCCACTGAGCTAAATCCCCAGCCATTGTTTGTTTGTTTTTGTACCAGGGATTGAACTCAGGACCTTGTGCTGTTTGGTTGTTTTTGATTTGTTTTGTTTTTGTCTTTTTTGAGACAGTCTCACTATGCAGTTCAGGCTGGCCTTGGGCTCACTGTAGCCCAGGCTGGTCTCAAACTCGCAACAATCCTCCCGCCTCAACCTTCCGAGTGCTGGGATTACAGGTGTGAGCAACCACGCCAGGCTCCGGTGTTTTTTTTGTTTGTTTTTTTTTTTTTTTGAGACAGGATCTCCTTACTACATGGTTCGGCTAGCCTTGAACTCACTATGTAGCCCAGGCTGGCCTTGAACTGGCAGCAATCTTCTTACCTTAGCCTCTCAAATGCTGGATTTACAGATGTGTGCCACCATACCCTAAAAAACACCTCCATTTGAATCCAGAAATTCAGAAGTGCCTTCTGAGATAGGCATGGTGGTACAATAGTAACCTCAACCCTCAGGAGAGGCTGAGTCAGGACAATGGTGAGTTCAAGACCAGCCTAGGCTACATAGCAAGACTCTAACTCAAATAACCAAACCAAACAAACAAAAACCAGGCATGGTGGTACCTGCCTATAATCTAGCACTCTGAAAAGTTTCAGCAGGAATGTCACACATTTCAGTACTGCCTAGGGATTTAGCAAGATCCTGTCTCAAAATAAAAAATGACTGGGGATGTAGCTTAGTATGAAGGCCCTGGGTTCAATTACCAGTACCACACACTCACACATGCAAGCCATGGTAGTGCCCACACCTGTAATCTCTTTTTTATTTTATTTTATTTTTTTGTCTTTTTCAGTACCAGGGATGAAACTCACGACTGCCTGCTTGCAAGGCAGGCGCTTATGCCACTGAGCTAAATCCCCAACCCTTCACACCTGTAATCTCAACCCTTGGGAGGCTGAGGCAGAAGGATCACAGAGAGTTTAGGCCCAACAACCTGGGCTGCATTGTGAGTTTAAAGCCAGTGTGGTCTATGTAGCAAGAACCTGTTTCAAAATAAAAAATAAAAGGTGGGGGTGTAACTCAGAGTGAAGGCACTGGGATGTAATTGCTAGGGGAGAGAGAGAGAGAGAAAATTTCACCGTGGCACCATCACCTCCCTCCTAAGCATCCCAGCCCTTACTTTACTCACCTGGAGATAGCAAACAGCCCCGTGAGCAGAGGGAGCAACTTGAGGGTGTCCTGGGGCAGGTAGGTGGAAAGCACAGCCAGGTTGAAAAAGTAGAGGATGAAGAGTTGGACAGACTGGGCCACATACTGCCGATGGATCTCCACTTCGCGCCTTGGCTCTCCAAAGGGCCGTAAGGCAGAAAAGCACAGCAGGCTCAGGCCATATACCAGGAGTCCTGGTAAGGTGGGAAGTGCACAGGGTCAGAAGGAACAGGAGGCAGGAGCCATAGCAAGAAGGCTAGGGTAGGGTACACATACAGAGACATGGGCATGGACACTATGCAGTGAGTCAGAGATGTGTACCAAATGTCAAGTGTGGGAGGACCTAAGTTCAGGCTGAGTGAAGGCCAGGCAGAGCCTGCTCCCTTAAGTTCACTTCCCAGATGCCCTTTTCTTCTCCCAAGGTCTAGACTCACCCAGCACGATGGGAAGTGTAGCAAAAACCCCACAACGCAGTGTGTAGATCAGGCGGGAGCTCATGGTGGGCAACCGTGGGGCATCAAAAGGCAGGAAGGCGTATGCCCCATAGAGCAGGCAGGGGAAGAGAATGAGAGCAGCTCCGACTGAGGCCACAGCCCTCAGTCCCTCTTGGCTTCCGCAGCTCCCGCAGCCTCCACAAGACTGGCCAGGTGGCTTCATGACTGCTTCAGCCCACTTGCATTCAGGGGGCTCAGGATGGGTGGCCCGAGGAGGCAGAAAGTTTCGGTGCTCCCCCTCCCGCGCCTCAAAGCACACAATGACTTCTTCCTGGCGCTGTTGCTCGATGCACTGTAAGTCAATGGGCACAATGGCCCGGGCTGGCTTCTCAGGCAGCAAGTTGATATCATCTTCAAGTGGCTCCTCTAGCTTGGTGAGTGGTTCTGACTCAAGAGGGTCTGAAATAATGTCCCGCCACCCAGGGGGGTCAGGGAATGGGGCACTGGGCTGGGGGTCAGTCCCCCAGGGCAAAGTGGCAGCCTCACTTACTGTGCTATCTAGCCCATCTTCTGTCCCCTCTCTAGCAGTGGGAGATCCAACTGAAGACCCTACTCTGAGAGACTCAGCTCCAGGAGACTCAGTGCCACCTTCCCCTTCTGGCTGCTGGCCATTGGGGACCAGAGTCTGAGATGGGCTCTTTTCTGGGGTTTCAGGTTCCTTCACTTCCAACAGGGCCAGGGACTCAGGTTCTGTCATTCTGTGGTCTCAGTCCTAGGGTCCACCATAAGGTCATGTCATCCTGGAAGAAGCAGAGGAAAGCTCTGTCAAAAGCCTGTCTTTGGCCTTTTGAAAGGTTCATTAAGCAGTGAGACTGTCCAGGGCAAATGGGCTCAAGGGCTCCAGCTGTCCTGGGACCTCATGGTGAATGTGGTACAGAGGTGTTGAAACAGCGAGGCAGGCAGGCAGTGAGTAGCTGCAATGGAGACACTCTTTCAACATCAAATGCTGTCTAGCAGGTCAGAGTGAGTCAGGGGGCACCGGCTCTGGTGACTGTGCCCTCCCTCAGCCCCACCCACACTTCAGCCCCTACACCAAAAACCCTGGGGTCATGACCAGCCTAGAGTAAGAAAAGGAGGTATTAGAATTTTGCTAAGAGCTTCTTTCCCACCAAAGATCTCCCAAAAGACAGAAAAGCTACCCCTCCACTGTCCCACTGTCTGTTCTCCCCGTAGATCCCTGCTTGTAACTCTTTTGGCAACTGATACTTGCAATTGGCTGACAAATCTGTCTCAAGAAGCTGGCAAATGCAGGACTCAGTCTTTCTGTCTCCAATCTAGGTGCCTGGTCAGTTTCCGAATGCCTCATTAACCTACCCCAGTCACCTGTACGGGTCCTAAGTCTACTCATTTTGATCTATAGGTCTAATCATGACTGTTTTTCATGCCTTCTCTCCTGTGTTTCTCCACTCCTCACCACCCTCTACCTAGCTCACTCTGGATGGGACTGATCCCCTCCTTCACTTCCTCCAGGGCTCTCCCACCCTTGCCATTTGGACCCTGACACCTTCTTACTTTTTATCTGGAGAGAGGTGAAGGGTTCCCAGCATCCAGGAAGGAGGTGCCTAGCTCCTAGTTGGCTCTGCAAGTGTTTCTCTCTGTCTAACTCCCTCTACCTGTGTCTCAAAACCTGTCTGACCAGAGCAGGTGGGGCCCAAGTTAAAGGGGCAGGTCCTCCCCTGCTGAACTGGCCGACAGAAAAAGCAGTCAAGAAGTCATCCTTTGTGAAAAAAGGGGTGTAGCTGGTCATAGAGTTTAAATTTATGTTCTAGGTGCCTAGGATGTATGAAGACTCCCAGCTCAGGCAAGCAGGGGGGAGGAAGTAAGTTTGGGCACCACAGAGAGTGCTTTGAGTAACCATGGGATACCTAGAAAAAGAGATGGAATTTATACAATTATTCATTCAATAAATGTTTATTGTTAGGTGTGGTACACACCTATAATTCCAGCACTCTGGGAGGCTGAGGCAAGAGGACTGCAAAGTCAAGTCCAACCTGGGCAATTAGTGATTTAGCAATATCCTGTCTCAAAAAATAAGGGCTGAGGCTGTAGCTTGGTACAAAGGCCCTGGAATCAACCCCAAGTAGGGGAGATTGGGGGGAGAAAAAGTTTAAAAACTTAAGCACTGGGCCGGGGGTTTGGCTTAGTGATGTAAGTGCCTGCCTGTAAGTGCCTGCCTTGCAAGCGTGAGGTCGTGAGTTCAATCTCTGGTAACCAAAAAAAAAAAAAAAAAGAAAAGAAAAGAAGTGCCTGCCTGGGAGCATGAGGTTATAAGTACTCTGATACTGAAAAAAAAAGATCTCTACTTTTGAGTTTATGTTCTGTGGCATTTCAGATAGTAAAGAATTCTTTTTTTTTGTCTTTTTCGTTTTTATCGGTACCAGGGATCGAACTCATAACTGCCTGCTTGCAAGGCAGGTGCTTACGCCGCTGACCTAAAGCCCCAGCCCCCCCCCCCCTTTTTTGTCTTTTTCCTTTTTATTGGTACCGGGCATCAAACTCACAACCACCTGCTTGCAAGGCAGGTGCTTATGTCACTGAGCTAAATCCCCAGCCCCTAGATGGTAAAGAATTCTTATACCTCAATCAGTAATACCCTTTCAATAGGGAAAAACTCATTGATAAGGTGACATTTGCCCTGCAACAGGATGGGAAAGTAGGACTAAGAATGCTCCATGCAGAGGAAATGCAAGTGAAAGGCCAGCAGGTAAGACTTAGCCTGTTTCAGGAACAGAAAAGTTTGGCAGCTGGAATCAGGAGGTGGTGGTAGAATTAGAATTTGAGACCCATTAAAATGTGTACAGGGTCCCCAGAATGCTTTGATTTTAGTTTAGGTTTAAGGAGGGAAAAAAAAGGGAGTTCAAAACAGATGTGGTAGCCAGGTGTGGTGGTTCATGCCTGTAATCCCAGCACTCGGGGAGGCAGAGGTGGGAGGATCTTTGCGAGTTTGAGAACAGCCTAGGCTACAAAGTGAGCTCAAGGCCAGCCTGAACTGTATAGAGAGACCCCGTCTCAAAAAAGACCAAAAAAAAAAAAAAAAAAAAAAAAAACCAGATGTGGTGGTAGTGCACACGTATAATTCCAGCACTGGAGAGGTTGAGGCAGGAGGCTCACTATGAGTTCAAAGCCAGCCTATAGTGAGACCCTGAAACAAAACAAGATGAAACAAAAAACAAAAGGAAAATCCTAACCTAAATTAGATAAGAGGTGATTTTTTTGTATATGAACCCAAGACCACACTCAAATGCTAGGCAGATGGTCTTCCACGGCGCTGCTACCATATCCCCAATCCAGAGGTGCCCTAATGAGAGATGGGGGGGGGGGGCAGAAATGGGAGGGAGTTAGTGACTTCTCATTTCTAGGAGACTTTAACTGTAAAGTCATCTGAGATTTGTGAAAGAAGGAACAGGACCTAGTTTGCTTGTCTGTGTCTCCAGAAACCAGCACAGGTTTGGGAGAGAGGACAGGTTTATAAGCTGGAAATCTTTAGAAAAGCAACATGAAGGGTTGAGATGTTTGTACAAAAACCATGTCTTTTAGAGGCACAGTCCAATATGATGTCTGGAGTTTTCCAAGGAACCTTTTTTACACACCTCCACTACCCTTTTTGTTTGTCTAAATTATGAGGGGGGCTTGAATCATTCTATCAAGTTATCTCAAGAAAGCTTGGTTCAAATGTGTGTGTGATGTTATTAGGGTGCAGGATGGACCAAATAACCACTGCAGGGCACAGCAAAGTCACGCTCCCAGATGTCACGCTCCCACTTGCCCATATACAGTTTCACATCAGACTCCTTTCCAGGCCAACTGTCCGTTCTCAGTCACCTTTATCAATAAAGTTTTTCTCAAGGGCTCGGGGAAGCCGGAAAGAGGCCATGCTGCCCAGAGTTAGTTCTGGCAACTTCCCTGGAGGGAATCTGCTTTCGCGAGATTTGGTACCAGCCGGTCACTAGCCTGCTGCACGGCGGCTGCTATCGCGAGATTTGGTGGGCGGAGGCGGAGCCGTCACAGGCAGCCGCCTCACAGCAATGGCGGCCGAGCAGGGCCGGCGGCGGCGGCGGCGGATACGACTAAGGCCGGTGACGGCAGTGGTGGCGGTGGTGGTGGGCGGTGGGGGTCTGTGACCAGGAGCCGCCTGCGGGCCCGGGCATCATGAGCCAAGGCCCCTCCATTGGGGAGAGCAGCGAGCCCGAAGCTAAGGTTCTCCACACCAAGCGGCTTTACCGGTGAGAGGGGTCGGGGCTTGAGTAGAGGTTGGCGGGGTCGCGGGGTAGGGCGCGAGGCGGAGGCGGGAGGGTAGTGTGGCAAGCGCGGGATTGCGGAAGGGGGCGGGGTCCTGTGTTCTGGGAAGGACCTGGAGAGTGACTGTGTGGTGGGAATCTGAAGGGAAACACGTGGAGGAGTCCCCTCCTCGGTGGGCGCGGGGCTTTGCAGAGTTGGGGTAAAGACGCTGGGAATTGGGAGCGGGAGAGGTTTGGTAGATTAGGGTGGGGATCACAACGAAGAACCCGGAAGAGAACAGTGCTTAGAACCCTGTAGGATTTACAGGGAACAACCTTGACTACTCCACAAAACAAGGTTCGGGTCCTTTTTTTGCCACACTCTAGTTGTGTGACCTTGAGCCTTAGTTTCCTCTTCCTTAAAAAGATTCATGTTGGATACACTCTGAAGTTCCTGACTGCTCCAATTTTAGGGAATCTTAATGAGAAGAAAGATGCTAGAAGGCTAGTTGTGTTGGCTTGAAAGCACCAGGAAGGATTTGGGGTCTAGAGAGTTATTTATCAGGCTTGGGATCCCATTTAAAGGAATCTTCGGACTCCTGAGTCTTACCTTCCTCCCAGCCTCATGATTACAGTCTCCTGCCAGGGAGCTTCCATTCCTGGTTTCTGATTTCCACAGTGCCACCCGCACTCTTCCAGTCACTTCTTCAGCCCTTTGGCCCTCTGTTGGAAACACAGCAGCGTGAGCGCTTCCCACCTTGGGTGGAGGAGTTTTTGTGTAGGTTAACAGGACACAGGCCCCAGAACTGGACCACAATAAAATGAAGTGTAGAGCCTAAGCCGAGTGTTCTGTCTTCCAGCGGAAGTAGGGTGTAGGGTTTTCTTTTAGCCGAGGCTTTGGTTGAACATAAGGTGTTTGCTTGAGAAAACTGCCCTCAGAGCCTCAGGCCCTATCTTGGCAGTGAAAGGGTCAAGCACGTGTTGTCTTTTCTTCCCTGAGTAGGCATGCTGTCAGCTCTGGCCTTGTAAACCAGAAGGCAGAGGGGAATATAGGCTGCTCCATAAATAGAAAAGTGATGCAATCCAGCAACCCCTGAGCTCCCACTGTGGGCTGCCCCAAGCAGTCCCCAGGCAGCTACTGTGGCATGTGTGCCATGTCATGCTGCTGAGTGTCAGTGCTGCCTGTCAGACAGAGCGTGGGCAGTGTCTGCAGTATTCCTTGTTTCCAGCTTTGGGAGTGGTTCTGCCCAACCTTCTGATTTTTTTTTTTTTTTTTTTTTTTTTTTGTCTTTTTACTTTTTATCTGTACGGGAATCAAACTCACGACTGCCTGCTTGCAAGGCAGGCGCTTATGCTGCTGAGCTAAATTCCCAGCTCTCCCCCCCCCCTTATGATTTTTCTCAAATTGAGTTCTTTCTCACCACTGTCATTACAGACTGACTTGAGCTGGTGTATTTGCATGTTGGTTATCATGTTTGCACGTGGATGCACATGCTTGTAGTTGTGTATTGTTGGCTTTGAGTCGGGTGGACTTTGCAGGCAGCTAGTTTGTGGTATTTATTTATTTATTTATTTATTTATTTATTTATTTATTTGAGTCAGGGTCTTACTATGTAGCCCAGACTGGACTCTAAACTAGCAGTCCTCTGCTTCAGATTCCTAAGTGTTTAAATTATAGGCATGCACCCCCATGCCCAGTGGGTTTATTTATTACGTATTTATTTTTGTGGCAGGGATCAAACTCATGGTTTGGTGCCTGCCAGGCAGGCATTTATGCTGCTGAGCTAAATCCCCAGCCCCTCAGTGGGTTTTTAAAAAATTTTTTATTTTTTAAAGCAGTGGTGATTGGTGAAAGGAACTGGGAAAAAGGTCTGATTTCTCTACGTAAGATAATATGTTGTGAGGACTGTGGACCTATCATAGAACTTCAGTAAATTTGGGAGTCACACACCTAGCTGTGTACAAATATGAAATTTTGAAATAACTTAAGGCAGTCAGAAGAAAAAGAAGCATGAAAGGATGCTGGAAGGGACATAGTACCAATTACTTTATTAGCCCAGTTACTGTTTTTTTGTATCAGGAATCAAACTCAGGATCTTGTGCTTGCCGGTCCCTCAGTTACTGTCTTAAAAACATCTTTTTTTTTTTTTTTTTTAACTGCTTTATTCTTTAGATCAGAATATATTAAGTATAGACTTTTCTTAAAAATTAAGGAGTTTCAGTATTAGAACATTGTTATGGAGAGGGAAATATCTGGCTCTTTTGGCTTTTTACATTTATCCAAGTTCCAAGTAGATTATCATATTTAGGTTCTTCTGTGTTACTTCTGTCCAAGTTATGACAGCTGTCTCATGAATTGCATAGTATTGAAAAGCTCCCTGCAGCCATACAAAATGTGTTGGCCTTGCTTTGCCTTTATGTAGTCAACAAGATTTTGATATTCAATATAGTTACCTCCTCCCACTACAAAAACAGTTGCCTCTTGGAATAGATTTTTGTTTCTAGGCATGAGCTGTCATTGCTCCCGAAGCATTTTGGGATCAAAATAGCAATAGTCATCAGTTTCAGGGTTTGACTTCATCTCCGTGAGGTGAGGTTGTCTAAAATATAAATAACAGAAAGGTTCTCAGTAGCTATCATCACAGGCTGTTTCTCCACATCAGCTGGTTGCTGAGCTGGGGGAAGGGAGTATTGATTCTTCTTGTCTCCTAGCCCGAGCTCCAGAAAGGGCTGGCCTCTAGTTCTCACCCCAGCAGCCTGAGCATGGCACTGACTCAAAGGAAAAGGCTGGTGTCTGGTTCTCCCCACAGTGGTCTAAGCATGGTGCTGACTTGCAGGAAGGATTTGCTTCTTGTTGACTTTTTTTTTGAGAAATCGAACTCACAGCCTTGCACTTGCCAGGCTCTTGTTCACTTTTTTGTTCTCTTCCTCCCACCAAAAACATTTTTTCTTAACACTGTTGTGGCTTGATATTATGAAAGGTTTCTTGTTTTGTGTTTTGTTTTTTGAGAAGGGATTTCTGTGTAGTCCAGACTGGCCTTGAACTCACTATGTAGTTTAGGATATCCTTGAACTCATAATCTTCCTGCCTCATCCTCCCTCCTACTATAGGTGTGCACCACACTTGCCTGTAAACTAGTTTGTTTTGTTCTGTTTTGACACAGGGTCTCCTTGTGTAGTTCAGACTTGTCTTAAACTCACTGTGTGGCCTAGGCTACCTAGAATTTGGCTTCAATCCTCCTGCCTCAGCCTCTGGAGTGTCAGGATTACAGATGTGCCTTACCATGCCCAGCTTTACAGAACTAGTTTTTGTTTAAAAGAGATTATATTTTGTTGGAGGAGTTTATGGTCTGGTGGAGGAAAAAAATGTTGTCTTAACTATTTGTGATTAGAACTTTCCAAAATAGTGGTGGAGGGGTTGTTTGTTTTGTTTTGGTCTTTTTGAGACAGGGTCTCACTGTGCAATTCAGGTTGGCCTTAGGCTCACTTTGTAGCCCAGGCTGGTCTCAAATTTGCAATGATCCTCCTGCCTCCACCTCCTGAGTACTGGGATTACAGGAGTACACCACCACTCCTGGCTCAAAATAATGGTAATTAATAATTTTTTATTGATTCTTGTTTTCAGGTTGTCCCCCCCCCCCCTTTTTAAATGGTGTGGGTGATTGATCCAGGGCCTCATCATGTACATTAAGCAAATGCCACTGAGCTACATCCTTAGCCTTCTAATATTTTGTTTGAGAATCTAAGGAGTTTGAGTCTTTCCGTAGAAAGCACACCTATCGGCTGAGATTATAGTTTAGTGAAAACCCTTGGTTCAATCCTTAGCATTAAAAGAAAGAAAATACTGTTCCTATTAGGTTTGCCTATAGTACTGATGTTAAAGAGTCCTCTGTCCTACCAGGGACAGAGATGTGTACCTATAGTTTGAGCTACTCAACAGGCTGAGGCACAAGAATCTATTGATCTTGAGTCTAAGAGTTTGAGGCTACCCTGGCAAAAATAGTCAGCAAACTCTGTCTCTTAAGAGAAAAAGAAAAAAAAAAAAAAGCCTTTCCCTGCAAAATAAGCTGATATCAAGTAAATCACTGCTGCTGCCCTGGCATCTATGGCCAGGCTGGCTAGAAGGTTTCCCTCTCTAGGACCCAGAAGGTGTTTGGAGAAATGCTGAGCTCTCAGGCTGGCCTGTGAAAGGCTGTGATTAACCATCCCACCCTTTGTACTGAGTTCTGGCAGACACTTGGCCTTGTGCAGGACAGGTCTTTGTAGTGTACCTCCTGAGCCTGCTGTATCCTACTCTTCCTGGCTCAGGGCGTGATTGGTTTATTAGGGAATGATCACTCTTACTTTTATGTTGTTCTTCTGTCCACATGTGTTCTCACAGCTGCTGTCATGGTCCTCTGGGTTTTACCCTTCTAGAGATGCTATCTATTGCTAGGACTTGTTGGCCATCCCCTGTAGTTTCTGTCATTCTTGCTGCAGTGACAGACATCTCTTGCTGTTTGGAGTCTCCCCTCAAACTTACAATAGAAAGGAGGGAAACTAAGACATGTTGGATGTTAACTACACAGCAGGCACTGTCGTAAGTGGTTTATGTACTAGTTGATTTAATCCTCCCAAATAGGTGATTTATACTCTGGTTTCTCTTGAGATTGGATAAATATTTCACCTTTTACCAAATAGCTGATAGATTTTATTCCCAGTTTTATGAGATGAACTGAGGTGTTTTGCTCAGAACTTCATAGCTGGTATGAAATAGAGATAGGCCAGCCAAGGTGGCACATGCCTGTAATACCAGCACTTGGGAGGCTGAGGCAGGAGAATCACCACAAGTTCAAGGCCAGCCTAAGCTATACAGTGAGTTCAGCACCCAGCCTGGACTACATAGTGAGACCCTGTCTCATAAAAGGGAGCAGGGTAGGATTTTAACTTAGGCAGTCTTGCTTCCAAGCCTGTATTCTTTAGCCACTGTGCTGTACAAATCATCTGTTAGCAGAAACCAGGAGACTTTGCAACTGAGCTGCTCAGTAGTCTTCTCTAGTTTCCCCTATCTGCAGTTACAAAGCAAAATTTTATATCAAGCATGCCTTTCCTTGATGTCAGAGATCATAAAGTCTTTGTATAATAATTCATTCCACCATTCTTTGTTGAATGCTTACCATATTCCAAAGCCGTTGGCAAATGATTGCATTTAATCTTCACAACACTTTTCTGAGTGGCTGCTAGTGTTATCTACACATATATTGATATGATAACTTTTATCCATTTACTTATTTATCTTTTTGAGACAAGGTTTCACTATGCAGTGCAGGCTGGCCTTGAATTTGCAGTGATTCTCTGCTTCAGCCTCCCAAGTGTTGGGATTACAGATGTGTGCCATCATTTTCTGCTTGATAGGATAACTAAAAAATAAGCAAGGTAATTGGCCCAAAGACACAGCCAAACTTTAGATTTTCTGCCTGGTATCATAGCCTATGCATTGGGAGAGTTTGTCTCTGATGTAAGAGTTTCTCTACTTTGGCACTATAGACATTTGAGCAGGGTAATTCTTTCTTATGATCACCTGAGGATCGAAGGATGTCTAGTAGCACCTCCTAGATGCCAGGAGCAACTCCTGTGACCCTCATGTTGTGACACCCAAAAATGTCTCCATCATTGCCACATAGTCCCTGGATAGGGAATGCCATATGGGAATGGAGACAGTGATCATTTTGTTATGTGCAGAGCTCAATGTATAGCCTTTTGCTTTCTTTATCCCTCCTTTAGCTTTTCCTTTGAATTAGCATCTGAGATGGTCTATGCATATGGCTCAGGGCTCTTTGCCTGTGTTTCTTTGCAGGGCTGTTGTGGAGGCTGTGCATCGACTTGACCTCATTCTTTGCAACAAAACCGCTTATCAAGAAGTGTTCAAACCTGAGAACATTAGCCTAAGGAACAAGTAAGCTGAAGACTCAAAACCACAGATCCTTACTGTTTTCCCTGCCCATCTCTACCAGAAATCCTGCTGTAT